GTATCTGAAGATTGTTTTTAGTCATGTGGACATGTATGTTTTACTATCTATAAAGATGGAGTGTACTGCAATAAAAAAAAAGATGGAGGCTGTCGACTATTTATTTTATTTGGATCCATAATCCACACCCACTGTAGCAGCAGTCATAAAATCCAATGATATATTGCATCGGACAAGCCTTGTTCTGCCAAGGACCTCTTTAAGTTGCTAAAGAGCATGAATTTCATTTGAAAAGTGTACCTGACCGAAGCTATGATATTTTCAGTTGCTTCCTATGCATGTGAAAGATGGACAGGAAAACCAAAGAAGAGTTAATACCACTAAATTGTGGTGTTGGTGAAGAGTATCTAATATCCCATGGACTGCTGAAAGAATAAGTTATCTTGGAGGAAGTACACCCAAGGTGCTTCTTAGAATCAAAGCCGGTGAGACTGTCCCACATAGTCTCAACATATTTTGAGTATGTTGTCAGGAGGGGCCAGTCTTTGTAAAAAAACATCGTGATTAGAAAAGTGGAAGGTTGGAGAAGGAAAGTAAGAACTTCAAAGTGATAAATTGGCATAGTGACTACAACAGAGGGCCTGAGCACGGCAGAGATTGTGAAGATGGTGCACAGGAGTTAGGACATAAAAGCTCTAGTGGCATAGTATACAGACTTGTACCACTAAGCCAAAGTCTGTGCCTCTCTGGTAATTTGAATCTACCAGCAGCTCTGTGGAAGAAAAATGGGCAACCTCCTCCTGTGCTAATAACAGCCTTGAAAACCCAATGGAGGGTCAAGTCAACAGCACTGAGAGATTAAGAGTAAAAATTCCATATGACCCAGCTATTCTACTGCTTGGGATATTCTACTCAGATAAGGAACTGAGGCACGAAAACTTGTGTACACCAGTGTTCACAGCAGCATTATTCACCATTGCAAGAACATGGAAACAGCACATATGTCCAACCACAATCGAATAGCTTGAGAAATTATGGTATATTCACAAAGTAGAATACTACACAGCACGCAGTATTTACAAATTATTTTGTAAATTATTAACTAACTTGTGAGGAACTGGAGCGCATTATGCTAAGAGAACTAACTCAGTTCCACAAGGACAAATATTATATAGAACCATTATTGTAGAACGAGTATGAGGATCCAGGGCGGGGTGGAAGCAGAGGGGTGAAGATGTGCACCGGGAATTAATCATGGAGTTATACAATTTGATGGGTCAAGGGGTGAGGGAAATTGGAAGAATCTGGTCTGGAAAACAATATATTCAAATTTTGTAAATAAATTGGTATAATTAAAAAAAAAAACACCTTAGGAATATATCTAGCCAGGGAGCTGAAAGGTTTATATAGTGAAAATTAGAAAACAATACTAAAAGAAAAATTAATTCTGGTTTTAATACATAAAGTCATACTTCTCTAGACTTACATAGGAGTAGGTTAACTTTTTTTTCCTTACTAACTATACAGATAACATCCATATAACTATACATCTACTTCCTATAAATATATATGATATAAGCATGTTGTTGTTATGTGCCGTCAAGTCGTTTCCGACTCATAGCGACCCTATGCACAACAGCCCTAAACCCTGCTCTATCCTGCGCCAACCGCACCGCCTCTGACACA